AACGCACTATGCTTGTCGTAGCTAAAGTTGGGGTAATAATATCCAAATTCCTTCTGAAGCACATAGAGACATATCATAATGTGATATAAGAACTGCATATTATTATTGTTATTATTTTGAGTGCAGTGTCAAAAAAGAGAAGAAACTAGAATTAACTAGGTTATCATTTTACTAATCACTGTTGTGAGTATTTCATTCTTAGAATGGTGTCTTCCTCGCTATGGCGACCCCAATAAGGAGAGCTCATTTCCTGTCGGAAATTGGGTCATAGCAACCTGTCCATTTGGTCAGCGACATGACTTGATATCAGACTAAACAAAGCTGTCTGTTTGATCTAAGGACATATAGACCTACTAGATCTAGGCTAAAAACAAACCATCATAATGTCATTTAGAACATGGGCTCCATAAACTTCCTGTCATTTGCATGGAAAGAGTTTTTTTTAAATTGTAACAGTATTGAAATTGTAGACATGGTAGACAGTTACTGGATTTAATGTCCCTCTTTCCCCATTTTATGGAATGTATTACATTACAAGTTGAGGTTGAGAGGTTTTTGTTTAAATAGGTGATTAAAAGCAATAGGCCATTTCCATAATGTAATCAAATTAATGCACAAATCTTTGTCAAGTGCCCCATTACAATGATTTCATTAACCTGTTACAAATAATTGTATTGCAGTAGTCAGAATGGGAATTGAATGCATTACGTAAGGTAGGAAAAGCCATGATGTTTGTCTTACCTAGCAACAATTAATGTATGTAATTTGCATTCTGACTATTGAAATACAATTATATGTAACAGGTGAATGAAATCATAACGAGGCACTGCTAATCAAGATAGTATTGAAGGGGTATGGGGTTAGGATGCAGGAAGGGGGGAGGGGAACTCTCTGGAAATAGTATCTCATTAAATTTGATTACATTACGAAAATGGTCTTCATTTCTCACTGCTTTGGCCCTAGGTGAAGTATATTTGGAAGTGAGGTGAGGAGATTGAATGATAAGCTTTCGTCACTGATAATTTAGAAAGAAGTCAAATCATGTGCTACAGCTAGGTCATGAATCATATTCAATAATTCAACTCATGCTGTTTAGTAATGGCACTGAGTCTAAATCTCAATTAAGTCCACGATAATGTATGAGCAGAATGCGAATGAATTTATCAATATAGTGTACGTGTAGCTGATGGTTAAGCCACGTATCTCAATGTTTCCTGTGTGTATAAATATCATATGAACATGCAGGGACGTTTTAAAGCCTCCTTTGGCTCATATGTTCCATATTGATTAGAAGAGGGCTTACTGTAAAGAGAACAAATCAATTATTTTGCTGAGAAAGATTTAAAGTTTTTTATCCAGCGAGGCCCACTCTTTCATGATGCATTTCCTGTCGTTATAATGCTTGCTATAATGCACTCTATTTAGTGATTACTTCTCTCTCACGAAGGAAATCTTCTTGCAAGATGTTTTTCCCGACTGAAGCTGAAATATCTAGGATACCGGTATGATTTGAGCCCAATTTGTGTCTACAGATTCGACTATATTAAGGTGGAGGACTCGCCTTACGGGCAGAACCTCGCACAACCTCGCACAAGGGAAGGCATTGAGCTCATGGAAATCTCAGACTTTAATTACTTTATCAGCGTGCTGATTCAAAAGACACACTTTCTTGCTTTAAATCAATCTTTAGCAGTACATGTTCAAAGTAGCGTTTTCCTTATTTCACATGATAGTACGAGCTATGAAGAATCATATTTGCTCTCAAAGGGCAGACTTCAAAATGTGTCATCCAAAGTTTTAGACTTCATAGATCTCTCTCTCTCTCTCTCTCTGTTTGATTATTTAATTCTACAGAATGATGTAGTACTCCCCTATGCAGAGATATAAATTACTTATAAAAAAGAAGAGTGTTAGATGAGTGAATTATGCCAAATCATCATCAATATTGTAAATCTTGTTGCAGTCAATCCTCCACGGATAATATGAGCCAGAAAAGTTAATCTCATTTTCATCCAAACTCTGTGACTCACGTTGCTGTTTGGATTCGATAAAAGTCATTCATGATGTTATAAACTGTTTCTTTCAATTTTTCTCTCATTTTCAGTCTTATTACCGTACATGTTTTTCTTTGTCATCAGTTGAAACCCTCCTATATATAGTTATATCCCCACTCTCTCTTTCTCTCTCTCTCTCTCTCTCTCTCTCTCTCTCACTCTCTCTCTTCCTGAATCTGGACATATTTTACTCTGCATATTTCTGTCCATCAATGTAATAATGTCTAACTCTCTCTCTCTCTCTCTCTCTGAACTGGGACATGTTTCCCTCTCCATATTTTTGACCATGAATGTAATAAATAATGTCTGTCTGTCTCTCCCCCCCCCCCCCCCCCCCCCCCCCCCCCCCCCCCCCCCCCCCCCCCCCCCCCTCTCTCTCTCTCTTCTCTCTCTCTCTCTCTCTCTCCCTCTATCTTCTCTCTCTTTCTCTCTCTCTCTCTCTCTCTCTCTCTCTCCCTCCCCCCTCCCTCCCTGAATTGGGACATGTTTCCCTCTCCATATCGTCGCCGTTTTCACGAACCGGCACAGCCCAATGCGCAACGAAATAAGTACATTCTGAGAAAAACGCGTTTTACGTTTAGCCCGTTTTGAATTCGCCAGAAACATGCCTTATGTCAAATTTTATATCACAAAATACATATCAATGAAAGGAAAATATTCTGTATTTTCTATACATTCCATTTGTTAAGCATAATGACAATTACTATTAATATTACGAAGCTTTGGACTCTCGTGCCGGTTCGTGAAAATATTATTTTGCTGTTTACGTAGCAAAAATATTTTCACGAACCGGCACAAGCCACTGTGTCGTTTTTCCTATGTAACTTTACGCGCAAGACAAAAGCGCTCGCGCTGTCTTAGCGCGTAATTTATTTTCACGAACCGGCACAACCGCCTGTGTCGCGTCGTCTAGGTCTTGTAAGCGCAAAGATATTTTCACGAACCGGCACAGCCCATTGACTTATAACGGCGCGTGCCGGTTCGTGAAAATATGAATCGTGCTTTTTGGCTCGTGTGTCGTTTTTGTCATTTGTGTAACCATGGATATCTCAAAAACTAAAGCGTTTTGGATGCTGAAATTTGGTGAGATGAAAGATTGTTGATAACTTATGCTAAAAATGCAAAAAAAAATAAAAACTACATTTTGAAGGGATTTCGGTGGCTTGTGCCGGTTCGTGAAAACGGCGACGATATGTCTGTCCATGAATGTAATGCATTTTGTCTAGAACATTACCGTCACCTATCACATTTCTCTTGATGGTGAGGCCAAATGTCTTTGCTAAACTTGAACTCGAGGAAGGAAATTAATAGACTTTGAATCAAAAGCTGATCACTATGGCAATGAATGTTATGAGTGGGCTGACTGGTTTAATATTACAGATCTGTCAAGGCTGGAAAATACATTCATCAATCTACACTTAGAGTTCTCAGACACAGTTTTGTTGTGGTTTTAGTTCAGGTTTTGTTCAAAATCTTTAATCAGAATGATCAAAACTAGACATCAATCTTTCCCAGGATGAATTAAAGGTCCTTGAGAGAAGAAGAAAAAAAAATGATGAGGTGCATGAGCGTAGAATCTTATAGAAGATTACTGTTCACAGTAGCATCGAATTCATTTCCTTCTACAACTTCTTTCTCATTTTCCTCTTGGTCTTTGTTTTGTCTCTATCTGTCTGCATCTCTCTCTCTCTCTCTCTCTCTCTCTCTCTCTGTGTGTCTCTCTCTCTCTTTCTCTGTCTGTCTCTGTCTCCGTGTCCCTCTCTTTGCTCTCCCCTGGTTCTCTTAGTACTGACAAGGTATAGCATGGCATATTACAAGAATTATAACTTCTATAAAATTCTAGTTTGTCATCAATGTAATTTCAGAAATATGGATATATGATTGATTTTTGGGGTTTATTCTCTCTATTCAATTAGTAAATATCATTCAAGCAAAAATTAATATTGTATATAGGTATCTGTCAGTCTCTCTACAGACAGTCCACATTGCCTTGACTAGCCGCTATGTTTTCTCATTGAATTTTCAGTCCCAGGTTTATAGCATAGTATCAAAAGAAGAAGAAAAAAAGAAGAAGAAAATGAAGCAAGGGGCTTGGTCTGGGTAATAAGGGTAGAATTAAGAGAGATTGAAATGTAAGATGTTTATAGGGGTAAAAGGTAGTTCTATATGATGTGATGTGAATTTAATCTGGTGGCGAGGACATGTATTAATCACCATGTCAGTAGTAATGACAGACTGAAGAGGTTAGATGATGTATTACTCAACGTTTGTTGAGCTGGATAATGAGGTAATGATGGGTCGTTGCTCCACTATACATGTAGGTGTACCGGTATACAGATAAGTAGTTCTTAATGTGGGTTGGATTTACCTGATGAAACCCATATATCTCTCACACTTCCATTACCAGTAGCTAGCTTAATCTTTCTCAGTATTTTTGAAATTGTTGATTTGCTTGAAAAATTGTCATCTCGACATCAAATGAAAGGTTATATAAATACATAGGTAAGGATGTCACTAAGGTTTAAGCTAAGTGCACACAACTTATCTAAACTTTATTTGGTTGCCCTTTTTTAAATAATAAACTTCAGAACATTCAGGTTTTATGACTTTATATATATATATATATATAGCATGAATTATGCAAATAGGTAAGGCCTAATATGAACAAGTTGTTCAGTTTTTACATAAATGATCAGTTCTGTACAAATTCAGGAGAAAGGCATTAGGCTCAAGTACTGGTTGATTCACTTTTCAAGTCAGCAAAATTCCTTTCCTTTATGATATTATCCATTTGACCCATCACCTTTTCTGCCCAAACACCTCAGATAAGAAAAAACAGCCAGAAATATATATGTCCCAAGGAAGTCATCAAAAAGTGGCAAAATCTATCAAATCTTGTGTCTTGTATTTGTTTACTGATTTGCCGGATATTTTTTCTCTTTTCAGCACCTGACATGAACCCGCATCTGAACAACCGCACAGAGCTTTGTAACGAAGATTGCCTGAACACATTTGTGAAGCAGCTGCAGACGGAACCGGATACTCACTGTAGAGAAGTCCCAAGACATGTTGAACTCATGTATATGATGGCTTGCCATTCTCTACTCTCTGACCTCATGACAACTAAATATGAACGGTTCTTCCAGCCTCTGGATACTCCCAGGAAGCATCATCCAGGTTTGTGATGCCATCTTTCTTAAAGTTACAAAATTAAATCTTTTAGAGCCCCACTGCACTACTTATAGCTACTTGCGCCCTCTATATAGCACAAACAATACCTAAGTGGTCCCCCGTGGTCCCCTTGTTCTTATGTTAATTGAGAGCTGTTTCAATGAGATAACCACCTGTCAGTGACCTTGCAGGGAGGTCTAATCCCCCTGGCCAAACTAGTGCAGATAGGATTTAATCTTCGTTGTACCTGTTCTGATAACCTTCTATGATATAGGAACACTACTCACAGGTTTGTGAAAATCTGTTCATTGAGAATTTCCTTTTTGAACTATATTAGTTTCCAACGAACTGGTAACAAATGACAAAATTAATGCTATTTTGTTAACAATAACTTTCTCTGATAAAGAGAGTGAGGTTCCCCATAGTGCAATAATACAAAGGTTCAAATTGAAGAACATTCTTTCTTTTGCAGAAATGTTTTAAATGTAATTGTTTCATCTCAGATTGGTGTCTGAAGTAAACATCAATTTAAATGAATAGAACATCAAGTAGGCCTATACATAGACTTCTTTAAGTGTTATGTTTAAACAAAAAATATACCCCCAAAACACTCCAAAACATTGCTACAGTTCACCTTTAAGTTTAGTGGTTTTGGGGATGCAACATGCAACTTCTTTCATCAAACAGATTATATGGACTGACAGAGTCAAAGTAGACCTAAGCTCGATGGCACAAAAATGCAGTGCCGAGTGAAAATCTGGGTTCTCATTTCCTTTTCCTTTCTATTTCAGAACATCCTAATGCAGTAATAGCCGGTTGTCATAAACACAATAGGTCATCTGGTTTTCATTTTCCTTCAAACAAAGCATGTGGCATTATCAAAAATGGCACATGCACTTTTGGTTCTTAAAAATAAGATTTTTGTAGGGTATTACTTGTAAACCAGTCATTCCTTGGTTCTACAGGGGATGGTTTGGATAAAAAGGACACCCACGCAGGTTGCCTAGGACAAGAGAAGACAAGGAAATGTGTGAAAAGATAGCATTAAAGATGAAAATGTGTATGGGATTTGGGTAAGACCCTGAGGGGATGATCAGGTATGCAAGAGGATTCAATCTGGTGAACATGCTTTTGGTCGGTAGAAAGCTCAAAACGTGATTCAAAGTTGAGTCAAACATATAGGCCTGTAATTATTCCCTTTTTCCAAAGGCATGTACATTTTCTTCCCGAAGCTTATGAAACAAACTTAATTGGAGTAATCATATTTATATCATATTTATATCAATTATCATATGTATGCAGATGACTTACAGCTTTATTTTATTTGCAAACCTGTCCAGAAAGAAATAGATGAAAATGTGAAGAAAATTGAAAACTGTATAGCTGATGTAAGGAACTGGATGATTGAGAGTCGCTTAAAACTAAATGATGCAAAAACAGAATTCATTTTGCTTGGCAACAGTAGACAGCTCAGTAAAATTAAGGTTTCTCATGTTCAAGTTGGTTCTGCCCCTGTATCTCCTGTACATCAAGCTAGGAATCTTGGTGTAATATTTGATTCTGCCATGTCACTCGAAACCCATATTTCAAATTGTGTTAAACTGGCCAATTGTAATCTACGTAATATCCGTGCAATTAGGCAATATCTCTCACCTCAATCCACCCAACAGTTAGTACATGCTTTTGTTACTTCGCACCTTGATAATTGCAATTCATTACTCTTTCGACTACCTGCCAACCAAACTAACCGATTGCAAAAAGTTCAGAATGCTGCTGCTCGCCTTGTAACTAACACCAGAATATCATCACATATCACTCCTATCTTGAAATCTCTGCACTGGCTCCCTGTTCAACAGCGTGTGATATATATAATTCTACTCTTAACCTATCGTGCACTAAATGATCTAGCTCCAGAATATATTTCATCCCTTCTATCACCCCACTCTGCAGGTCGTTCTGGTTTACGTTCATCACATAATATTAGACTTAAAGAAATACGTACCAAAAGAAATTGGGGGGATAGAGCATTTGCAGCAGCAGCTCCTTCTTTGTGGAATAAGTTACCTTTCTCTATTCAAACGGCCAACACTCTCTCTACTTTCAAAACTGGGCTTAAAACTCACCTGATGCTCAATGCATATTGTTAAATTTCAATGTTCTTTTTATACAATGCATGCAAAACAAACAATCGCACTGTGCCACATTGTATGTACCTTGGCACCATGAAGTTGTATGATCTAATGCAAGTTAACATTTAATATTTCTTTAATCTTAAGTATGTTAAATATTAATTTAAATTATTTGTATGCGCCTTGAGCATCTCTAGAGATGGATATGTTGCGCTTTATAAATATTGTTATTATTTTATTATTATTAGATACTTCCCTACTAAATTTTATCAGAAACACAAAAACATGCTTCTCTAGTGATTCAAAAAATTGCTTGAATCGCTAGAAAGTGGAGCTGGCGAAATTTCACACCCAATAATAAGCATCTCACACCAGTTAGCACAATTTAATGAAATTTTAGAACATGGAATTTCTAAGATGTACAATTTCCCAAGTTGCATTGGCTAACCCAAAGCATAAATTGAATACACATACAAAACCCACTTGGAATTATAGTACTGTATAATGAAAAGGTGAGATAAAGAGACATAGAGACATAGAGACGTAGAGAAGTATATGATCAAAGAGGCGGAGAAGAGGTATAAGAAAAGAAGAAAAGAAGAAAGAAGAAAGGATGTGCATGTATTTTACTTGTGCATACTATTCTTGTCATGGCTTTGAATTAAATGTAATTCAAAGTGAAAGAGACCCTGGCATTCAATTTTAAGAGTTTTGTAGGTTATTTACCCTAAGGTGTCAGAGATATTGGAATAGGAGAATAATCCTGCTGTTGACAAGTATTTTCTAGAACATTTTAGCGCATGTTTTTAGAGACCTGAGATAATCTTACAGCTTTGACCTGATTCTAGTCGGCTTTATGACGGTATTAACCATTAATTCCTTGAAAGAATTTAATAACCCGGAGCGAAGTGACTTTTAAAGTGTTTCTAACCGCATGTTACCATGGTGATATTTTTAAATGCCATCTGTCACTATGTCAAAAATATAGCTTTGTGGTAGAAGTTCCTTTTCCTTTCCGAATTCGTCTGTGGTTTTAGGGCACAGTCTTCATTTTTATGTTTCCCTTTTGTCTGTAACTTTCCCTTCTTTTTCTTTCAAACTGTTGAAATTGTGTCATAAATCACTCCAAAGAAATCGCTTGTTACCATGCCAACTATTGTACAAAGTGTGCCATGCAAACATTGCTCTTTTGTAGTGAAAGATTTTGACCCAATATAATTAAATAGGACTCTTTCCTTTTCAGGTACTTTCGAAGCTTCTCCTTTTCATTTTCAAATATAAATGAAAGTGGGTGATTTGTGGATGAATATATTCTGATAGAGTATTAGAATACACAAGTACAAGAACAAATGGTTTAGGGGAGGGGATGTTTATTTGTTTTTATATATTATTTGCCTTCGCTCCTTGTACTAAATCTAACATTGCAATTCTGTGTGGAGAATAGAAGTTGTGATCAAAAGGAGGTAGATAGGCATATGTTTTCATTTTTAGTAAGACTTGTTTCAACCAGGGGTACAAATGATATTATTTCACTACCCTATGAATATTGTTACACAAATGTTGCATCGTCGTTTTCGGTCCAACTGCTTCAACTTCTGTTGCTGCTGCTTCTATATAGTTCTCCATCTCCCACTTTGTGTGGACTACCTTTGCTGGTCTTTCTTATTTTCCCAGTGTTTGAATTACTGTTATCAGAAGTGTTATAACAATGGAGAACAAATATGTTTGTTCTTCTGTGATCCCAAAACGGCTTTCAATTATGCACAGCAATACTTTTTTGAGGTAATCAAACATGGATATGGAAAGTGAAGGAGGTCTTTATGAATCACTGTTTGCAAGGAAATCAAGATTTAATCTTTGCCTCCTGTTCTAAATAACAGTTTCTATTTCCTGTAGCAAATATTTAAGTGTTTGCGCGATAATGATTTTGTTTGTTCGTCATATTTCTTAAAGCAAATATCCCATCAAGAAGGGATGGACTTTGGGGTATACCCCTGAGGCAAGGCATCATAAATTTGATATTGTCTGCTGAGAGCCATGAGGACTTTGGCTACATCTAAAATGAAATGAATTAATGCCCTTCTAGCTCTCACAGATGAAATGAAAGAAGACTGATTTCATGGGTATTTCTTTATGAAGCTAAATTTCCTCATTGCCAAATTGAAGTTTTCATGTGCATTTATCTACCTTATCATATCAATATTCAAGCGAACCAAGAAGAAAATAGAGGATAAAATGCAGCGTACAGAACCGACTTGTGTCAACGTTATAGTCTACTCAACACACAGTCTGTTATTAAAAAAAAAAAAAATAGAACATTTTTTTCTTCTTTTCAGTCCCTTTCAGCAAGATGGGGTTACAGATGTTTCTCAAATTTAGAATTTAAATGCAAGGAAAACGCGCCCTTTTACGTAAATAAGTTTCCTTAACCCTCACCAGGGGCGTTGCCCCCAGACCCCCATTTAACCTACCTTGTTTTGGGGAATTTCTCTTTCTCATTCCTGTAGAAGTAATTTGGAAGCTCATATTTCGAATACAGTATAGGCAACATTTAACATCAAGAGCAAAACATGTTTTGGTGATTGGTACATTAGCTCTGAGGTTATCTTGTTTCTGTGCCGAGGCGTGAATACATATTTGGTTTCTGTGGCAACTCTTCCATCAGGCTGCCTAGCTACCCCAGAGTATCATAGAGGAAAGGCTGGTTACAGACATTGACGCCAATTGATTTATACCATTGAGATATATTCCTTCCCATTTAGACAGCTATTAGTCATGTCAATGCCAGCTGGGTGTGAAAGTTCTCTTCATTTGTCATGTCGTAAATCCGTATATTCTTAGTCTTTACCAGAGCATGTGAATCATTGACAGTTGATAAGGTGAACAGCGCATATTGGCCTCAGACCTCCTTTATCATTCGCAAGCTTTTAGGACCTCTGTGTTGTTGCAGATAAGCCATGCACATTTGAGAATTCCATGAGATGTTTATTCTTTGCTGCAAGTAATATCATTCATTCAAAAGATACTGAATATATCAGTTATTCAATCATTCAAGTAGATGAAAACAACTTGATCCATGTTGGAGGCACTTTTTAATTTGATTGTTTTTGTAGACCTTCAGTGCATGTTTATCAAAATCTTAACGCTGAAATAGTGAGAGAAATATAAACAGAACTTTATCAAAGTATTTATCGGTTATTCAATCATTCAACTAGATGAAAAGAACTCGATCCATGTTGGAGGCACATTTTAATTTGATTGTTTAGACCTGTAGTTCGTGTTTGTCAAAATCTTAACATTGTAATAGTGAGAGAAATTGAAACAGAACTTTGGCAAATTATTCAAGACATGTGAATAAATAAAGGTTTACAACGGGCTTGAGGATGATTAAAAAGAAGAAACAAATTGTAGAGAAAAAATAAAATTCCATCAAAAATGAAAAATTGATTTTTCATGTATCAAATTACAATCACAATAGTCTCAATGTTGAATATTACTGAAGCAGAATTCCAGACTAGTATCCAGACTGCTGTATTCCGAAAACGAGTGAAAATCTGCTTCCATTTTCCTATTCCATCATCTCAGACACAGCTGAGGATCAACATCTCATAATCCAGGATGCAGAACTTGATATTTGGTCAAAATTGTGGATCACTCCTTAGATTGTACATGAAATGTTAAATGGGAAAAGGAAGGGTAGAAGTAGCGGAAGCTACACTTGTTATGGTGTTGAGTAATGTGGATGAAGGCTAGGCTTAGAGGGTTTGATTTGGTTTGGTTCTTAGAATTGAAAGTAGCAGCTTCACAATCAGTAGGAAAAATATGTAGACATGATTTAACAAAGGAGAACGGAGGATATTATTTAGAGAAATGCTAGCTTCAGTACCAAAAATCATAGGCAAATTTACACAAATTAACAAACAGTCTCCAACATAAAAGATGAGGAAGATGCATAGAATGTTGTTTATTTCTTTAAAAATAGATTATTTCTTTAATAATAGAGCATCTATTTGTCTGTTCTGCATTTGATGACTTTTACAATTCATTTTTAAAGGGGGGTATCTCACTGAGCGGCGAATGCTTACAAACATTGCGAATTTGGATTTGCCAACTTTTCTGATGAATGTTGGCGAAAATCAGGGACGGAATATTTGCGACATTTAGCAATTTTAGCAATGTTTAGCAACAATAGGCATCATTTGAGCAAATGTTAGCGACAGGTTTTGTGAAGATTAGCAACTATTTGCCAATCCTTTGCCACTATTTGTGAATGTTTGGGACCTTTTGCTAACTCCTGGTACTCAATGGGTCGATTTTATATAGCAACCATATGGTAACGTGGTAGCTAGCATTGACGAATCAAAAAGAACTGAAGCGACACAGTCTTACAACCGTTTGCAAAGGCTTGCGACTGTTTTGCTAACGCTTGCAACTATTTGTGGAAAAATGAATTGCGACAATGAAAACTGTTTCCAAACTTTCTTGCAATCTTTTACAAAACTTTTGCAACCTTTTACGAACCCTGGCAAAACCCAAATTCGCTACATTCGCTGCTCAGTGAGATACTCCTACCTACTAGCTTAATACTGGCTCAACGAGGGCCACTTTAATTTCTTTTTAATCCACAAACATTGTGATAGTTGAGACATCTCCCTTAGGTCCCCTGCCAATAGTTGAATCAATCTGACCTCAAACTATTAAGAGTTGACGGTGTGTAAATAAGGCCCAGTGAATTTAAGCACGTTCTGACCAGATGTTTCATGGTCAAGGATGATAGGCTGTGTACTCTCGTATATACTTCCATCAAAGATTGATTAATTGTCCACTTCGATGACATCAAATTTGATATATTTTTTTTAGACATAAAGGGATTATAGACAAAGTTTAGAAAAAGAGTGGGGCTTTTAAAGTGCAAGAGAAAGACAAAAGATTCGTTTTCCTTTATATGTATTTTGAAAGAATGTGAAACCTTCATGACGATAAAGTTTCAATTTTCTCCTCAAAGATAAGGAAGCATTTCATAAATATTTCAAGGTGTATATCCTCAAACAATAAATCTCTTTGATCAACAAATCTAGGTGAAACCATTCCTTCACCCTGATCGAGACACCATTTTCATTCTCTGAACCAACCCTTGGTGTTTTCTCAAGAGGAGAACATTTCCTTTCCATCTCATTCTAAGAGATGAGTGATATGTAAATCATCCCGGGATGATGATAATATTGATCATACCCCATCCACAAAATATAGTCTCTCCTATCTTATCTGGTTGCCATATCCTCCTCTCCCACCCCACCTGTAACATTCTATCTAGTCCATAATTATATCTTTCCATCCCACTCCAACCGTAATAGTCTACCTGGTTGCTTCATCCTCCTATCCCACCCCTAGCTTTCTGGTGCTGTTATGGTCTCACCCCTCCCCACCCTAAAAGTTGATCTAATTCCTGTATCCCCTCACCTCACCCCACCCCATCCCACCCCTAACAATCAATCAGATTCTTACACCCCCCCCCCCTCATCCCTCCCTACCCCTGACAATCTATCTGATTCTCATGTTCTCTCTCATCCCACTCCAACCTCCCACAATCTCTCTTGGTTGCTGTTCTCCCATCCCACCCCATCCTGTTATAACAATTTATCTGGTTCTTATAACACCCCACCCCACCCCTAACAATCTATCAGAATCTCATGTCCTCTCTCATCCCACTCCAACCTCTCACAATCTCTCTTGGTTGCTGTTCTCCCATCCCACCCCATCCTGTTATAACAATTTATCTGGTTCCTCTAACACCCCACCGTACCCCACCCCTAACAATCTATCCGGTGTCTGCATCCTCCTCATCTGAGAATAAGATGATTGATGCCATGTTTAAGAGCCGAGTTTCACAACACCACTGGGCTCTAACCTTGAACTAGAAGAGGAAGTATTCACTGATTTAGGAATAATGCTGACTTATTTTGACAAGAATGAGATTTCCTCCAAAACCAACTCGATTTTCCTTAAATCCTTCCGATTCCTGTTTCCCAAACATTCTGTTCAGGCTCACTCGTTTTGTACATGTTGGGATGAAGATATTTTTGATGTATATTGCAGGGTATTAAATCTCTCCTGTCTTTGTCCATCTGCATTGGTTTTGTATTGGTTTATGTTTGGAAGGTACTGTCCATATTTCTGCCTTTAATTTTGTAGTTATTCCAATAAACTCACAGTCATACTCCCACTTGTTTTTATCGCGGCAATTTTCTCCCACATTTCTCTTTTGCAGTCTGTCTAAAGTATTAGTTTGTCTGTCTGCCTCTCTGTCTGTCTGTCACTCTCCCTCTCCCACTCTCTATATTTATCTATCCCCCATCTTCCCTGCTCTCTCTCTCTCTCTCTCTCTCTCTCTCTCTCTCTCTCTCTCTCTCTATCTCATGCTCCCCCTTTTTTGATTGTTTTTTCCTCCTTATTTTCTCTCTTTTTCATTCTTGGCCGTAGTTTTCCCTGTCCATAAACCACATCCTCAAATGGCATTTCCATAAATTGTTCATTAGTGTAAAAAATAGTGCTTGCTCCATTGATCAAAGAAATGTTTGTATCGCAGAGAGTTTCCATAATTTGAAGTAATTTATTGAATTACCTCAATGTAAGTGGATAATGTGTAAATCTATAAATGTCTTTCCATAACACATCTTGGGGGAACAGAATGTCAAGTTGCTTAGTATCAAAGATCAGACAAAAACATGCTTTGCCTGAAAAAGAGAGAATAATAATGTTATTTTCTCCAAAAATCTAAACGACATAAACGCCTGTCTGGCATTCCATTCTGTAGCAAGTACAGAAGTTATCTGAAGACCAGAAGGAAAAGTAAATTATTCTTGACTTGGTCATTTATATGAAGCGAATGACATACCCATCAAGTAGCAACACTGTAAGCAGACTTCAAAGATGAGATGTGAGAAATTTATCTTTGTTTACAAAGAGGAGATAAGTTTCCACTTTTTGATGTCAACAATCCATTGTCTAGTCTAGTCTTGAACATACACAGGGTGGAACCATCCATTTAATGATGTCATCTTCCTTTCTTTATCTCATCTCACAGGTGGTATGCTTCACGATGCTCCCTATGAGGTAGATTCCGTGCTCTCTGAACTGCTCTACGAGTGTGTCTTTGAAGGCCAGCCTGGAAGAAGGATGCACTCTGTCAGGGTTCTCAAACGCCTTCTAACTATCATCCAGAGAGGCTTCTCCTACAAGGATGCTGCTGACAGGACATCGCTATGACAACATCTAAGATGATGCTCTCCAAGTGCTGTGTCTTTCATTTACTAGCCTGGTAGGAGGACTCTCTCAGCCAGGGATCTTCATAGCCTCCTTCGTATTTTCTAGCTGGGTTTCTCCTTCAAGGTCTTGCTGGCAAGTCATCAGCATGACGATGCAATCAAACAGGGTTAACTTCTTTGTATCATCCAAAAAGGATGACGTTGCTATGACAACATCTACTAGCCTAGGAGGAGGATGCATTCTTCAGGATTCATGAACATCTCATTAACCCATAAAAGGATTTGCAGTGGTGGTATCACCATGCCAGATGATGCTCTCATGTACTAAAGGAGACTCTCTTAGAGTCTACTTTTGTGTGCAACAGATGTCATGAAATGTTAGTGGAAGAGTTAACAAAGTTAGCAGTATTAGAAGTAGTAAAAGATACCTAGACTTAAAAAATGATACACAATGTCTAAATGACTACCTCTCGTTCAACTGGCTTATAAATAGCCAATGGAAAGCTGTGTTAAGCAATGTTATATCTTAATCAGCAAAATGACTGCATGTCTTTCTCTTCCTGGAGTATTTATATAAAGAAGATTACCAAGATATTTTCTCAGCTTTTTACAAGGAACTGAACCTGACCACTGGAATAATTGCCTCAGGACCAAGTCAAATACTTGCAAGTATTTGAATGTGTAGAATTACACAACAAGAGGGAGCTAGTTGTGATTGGACCCAGGTATATGTTAACTCTTGTACAGTCTGTGCATGAGTGTTGAATGCAGATACCATATGCAGAGCTGCCAACTAGTACGGATTTCCCGTAATTGGTACGGAAATTAACGACCATTACGGAATGTTGTTTAAAATTACGGATTTAAAAAAAAAAAAAAATGATTTTTTTTTTTTTTTTTTTTTTTAAATATATTTTTTTCCCCCCATTTTTCCTGGAAGACTGTGTTGTGATGATATGAAACTCATTATTTAACAACTTTGTGTGAGTAAAATCACCAAAAATGTCAGATAATCATGTGTCTGTGCAATGTTGGCGTGCCGTTTTTATTAGAGTCATAGCACCGCATAGGAAATTACTGATTTATACCCAAAATTACTGATTTTGAGCCTTGTGATTACTGATTTTCGGTTCTGGAGGTTGGCAGCTCTGCATATGTTGTTATCTTTCATCTTGCCATTCTGTATAACCTGTGATAAATCTAGTTTGTATATCATTCATTTCATTAGGCTTCATAAGTTCATGAAATGATTATTAGCATTGTTTTGTTCATTATACAATAAATCTGCTCAAGACAGAGGAAAGAGTGGAAAGGCCCGCACCAAGGCAAAGACGCGCTCATCCCGTGCAGGGCTCCAGTTTCCAGTGGGACGTGTTCATCGGTGTTACATCATTAATTCTTGATAATTACCCATCACCTTACTTTGAGATGTCATAGTATGCTTACTGGTACTGGAATCAATTTAATTGCATTTAAAACCTCAAATGAAGTCACATCACCAGGAAAAAGGAGTGAAGATATGGCTTGATACTACATATTTTGTCCTGGGGTTTGGTGAAATCTTGACCAATGTGATTCATTTGAGTTGTCATAAGAAATGTGATTGGGAATAAGTAACAAGTTTAGCAATAATGATAGAATGTTCAAATAATCTTTTTGGTCTTTTTAGTTAATTCAGGATCTTTAATATTGTTTCCATTTTAATACAGGTTTTAAAGTAATTTAATTTTGTCAAAAAGTGATGTATAATGTAATAATAGTTATTATTGTGAGAATGAAGTCATTAATAATTTGATTACTTTCACTGTTTAACTTTAACATTTTTTAATGATTATAGATCATTTTGAAAATTATTCTGACTAATTCTACCATGATTTTAAGTTTATACCACTGTAATCAAAGGCCACAACTATTGATTTCTCACAGAAACAGCAACAACAACAAAAAGAAATTAAACAAATTTTTTAGAGCAAACCTTTATGACACATTTTTTAATTTTTTGGTGTGTGTTTTTACACCACTATGCGTTACCGTGAATTCTCTTTATAGTACTTGATATCCATTAGAGTATGGTAATCAGGGCAGTCTCTCATGAAACCATCATAAGTGAAAGTTCACCATCATGCCATTTAAGTCCATGTAAATTATATTCCACAATTTTCTTGGGATGTTATTGAACTTGTACTAATGATGGTTCAGTGAAGTGATACCCAGGTATGATATGTATATATATGTGAATGTATAGTTTTAAACTAAACTGAAATCTAGTTGAAATAATTTTGAATAGTCATAGATTACTTTGTTACAACTACAGCAACAGTTATTTTTTATTGCCATATTATTGTGATTTTAGTTTTCTATAATCCTCTCTCCTTTTCCTTTACAGTATGTCATTGACGTTGAAACTATGTATCTTTCTCCCCCTTTTGTCTATCTCTATCTCTTCCCTTATTTTCTTTTTCATTGTGCTCTAGCCTTTTCTCTGACATGCCCTCTTTCTCATCTGTCACATCTGTATATGAGAAAATATTTACTATGATACTTCAACCAGTACTATTTTTAATAATAGGTAATCTTTTAAGAAATATTGATTGTATTATGGGGTTTCCTGTCATAATCAAAATATATTTGAAAACAGTTGAAATAAAATACCAGAGAATCATATCAATTTTCTTAGATCTATAGAATTGTATCATTCATAATTACATTTGAATAAGTAAAAGGATATTTTTTTCTTCAAGGTATAGTGGTCAAATTTGTGCAATTTTACTGACGTTTTAAGTGGGTAGGGACTGCATTAAGTAGATATTAATTAAATTAAAATTTAATTAAATTAGATTTAATATTTTAAAGCCCATATTATTAACCAATAACCAAATAAACATTAAAATGCATGGCTATGCATCTTTTAGAACTTTCTGCCAGGCACTTCCTTAAAAAAAATAATATTTTGCTCTCGTTTAGCAATATGAGCAGTAACCCCAAAAGCATTATTTACCAGGTGAAATATAGAGTCAGTTAGAAAAAAGGGTAAAAATATTGTTCAAAGAAGGTCTTTTCTTTATTAAATAAATTTGCCTACACTTGTTGTTGCCAACCTTAATGTTGTATTAAAGTAACTTGCCAACATTCCGTTTTAAAAGAATGTTTGAATTTTCTCTTTTCACTGGTGTCGTTTCTGTCATCATGAAAATATGAAAGAAATTATGAAGTTACAGCTGCAGTAGAAAATGTTGCTGTTTTTTAAATCTTGATTTGTTCATTTAGTTTTTGGAGGGAATATTAATTGAAAATGTTAGCATTGTTATGAGTATGGATGAGAAATATATGTATATAGTCAGAAAGGTAATATGTATGCTGACTATTTATGAATAATATCATGGAATATAGGTATTGTACATAATTGTGTGAAGGGAAAAAACAATAATCCAAGCTTGGTGCCAATTTTTAAAATAAAAATACAGGCTTGCAACAAATGATATGTTATGTACTTTGAGAAATATGAATAAGTTATCAGATGGAATTTTATATGTTGCACAATTTTTGTATGTGAGGTGCTTTTTTCACTATTTGAAATTTAATAAAATAAGTATAAATTTAAACTAAATTCCTATGTTATTGGCTCTGCTCCTTAGGTGATGTTGATGATGGTAGTGATGGTGATGCGGATTGAGAGAAGTGTTATGAATGCTTCGTCATTGTATTAATGCTGCTGCTGCTGATGCTGATGGTGATGGTGATGAGGATGAGGATTATTATAGTCTTGGATATGATGATAATGGTGATGGTTATGACAATGGCATGAGTATGATGGTGATAATGATGTAAGTGAAGATGATGGTGATGATGGTGGTAATGATGCTGCTGCTGATGATGATGATAATGATGATGGTGATGAGTATGATGGGGATGATAATAATGTACGTTGTGGTGGTGGTGATGATGGTGATGCTTATTGCAGATTTGGTTCTGGGAGCTGTGATGATGAATAATTCCGCTACAAGGATTAAAGTGGATTTGTTGATAAAAAAATCATGGTACTGTAATCTATAGTGTGTTTGATGCTAATCAAGGTGTCAGTTGTATTATATTGACAACGGTGACGTAATTTGTCGTATCTGTCGTCAGAGTGATGATGTTGTTGTGAAAGCATGGGTGTGATCAGGGTTAGCGGTAATGACTGCGGTACAAATGGAAGACGTGATTGCATCTAATTATGTTAAACATATATACTGGTATGTCTCCATCTAGATTATTATATGAATGATATTCTATTGAATTATCGAGGAGAAATTCAAAGAAAAGTAAGACATATAACTGCTTAGCCATTTCTTTACTTTCAGCGGGAGAGAGAGAGAGAGAGAGAGAAAGAGGGAGATGGGTGTATTTTTTTTGCTGTTAATAGGTTTGTTCAGATTTAACACTCGTTACGTGAACGCTAGATGGCGCTATACCTGTCGGACATGCTGTCCGGTTGAACAGTAAATTGACTTGGCCATTCAGCCTGAGCCCTCGCGAAAGGCCGACAGGTTTTTATTATTATTATTCAACCAAACCAAATCGTGTATCAAGTTCAGTATCATTCTGACAACAATGAAATGGGAGGGCGGTATCCGTTTGTGTGTTAGTAAGTGTTGGGAAAGGGGGGGGGGGGGGGGGGATTGGAGGGGTCTCTTTTTCCTACATGAAAACAAATTTCTTCATCATTTTTGTAGAAGAGGACTGCCACATCGTGCTCAATGCTTAACTGCTCAGGAAACGTATGGAAAACATCAAATATCTTACTTCATAATATGTACAGGTCTAAATAATAACTGAAATATTCAAAACTTATACTGCACCGCATGACTCTGACTATTTGCACTTAAAAAGGCATTAGAACGGCACTCTTTAAAAATTCAAAGCGGCACGTTCATATTTTACGTGGTTCAAACCGGCACCTTGTTAAGTTTAGAAAGAGGCATCGTGAGCTCATTTTTATTGTAGTCGAGATAGAGACATAATGTGTCGGCAAATGATATTTGATTTAGCGCCATCTTGTGGTAAGATATTATGAAGAATACAATTTCTCGTGTTGTTATATAGATCAGAAGGGCATGATAATTTTAAAATCTTATGCTAATATGCCGAGTGGAAGGAGAATAGCCCAGGAGCGGCGATTTTTTTTCATGGCCGGGGGGGGGGGGGGGGGGGATGCGAGGGACGAGGGAGCATAGTGAACGAGAGGTGACGGAAGTGACTACCTTCTCACAGGTTTTTCGAAGTTTTTCGGAGTTACATTCCTTAGCAAAACTGTAGTATAAAAATAAGCAATATACTTTTTACAAACAACACTTTAAAGTTGCCGGTAATTAGCATGCAGTCCGAAGGGTTGTAAATATTTAGTAGGTTAATTAAAGTAAGTAGGGAGATTGGGCATACATACAGTGTAAACTATGCTTACGTGATACCAACGGAATACAGATTTTCTACAATATTAACGGTTTACTTGTACATTTTGAAGGATATTATGCAAGAGAGCGTAACGACCGAGCGATCAGATTTTAGCATTTGTATTAGTCTAAACGCTGCATTCTTGGGCTCTCCAGAGCCTAAAAGTGTATCGAGTTTTTAATCAGTATTTTCTATACCCCTTTTTTTTTGGGGGGGGGGCACTTTTTCCCAGGATCACCGCCCCTGGATAGGGATAGTTGTATGTCACCAAGGGATTTTTTTTTTTTTTTTTGGGGGGGGGGGGGGAGGTATTTTGAGGGAACATATTTATATATTGATGTT